CTATCTATCTATCTATCTATCTATCTATCTATCTATCTATCTATCTATCTATCTATCTATCTATCTATCTATCTATCTATCTATCTATCTATCTATCCATCCATTTATCTATCTATCAAAACACATATATTTATTTATTTAGATTTAAATTTATATACACATTTTGGAAAATATTTATTTATTCTAGCAAGGACAAAAATAACATTTAAATGTATTTATTCAAATATTTATATATTCTTACTTTACAATTGACAAAAAATAACAGCAAAATATATAGCAGGAAAAAGGTATATATACAGTATATATATATATATATATATATATATATAACTTATATACATTTTGGAAAATAGTTATTCTAGCAGGGAAAAATGACCATTTAAATTATTTATATAAATTTACTTAAATAAGTTACTTTTACTTGTACACTGGGGGAAAGAAGTTGCTGCTTTAAATTTGTATGCTGAATAAAATTTTCTGTGCAAGTAATTTCAACTTAATTATATCATAATGACTTTAAAAAAATAAAGTTGTATCTTGTACAAGTAAAAAAAAAAGCGTGTTGCCATGACTTACTGATCATAACGCTGTAGTATCTTTCTACAGTGCAGCACAATATATACTAGGGATGCACGATATATCGGCCACCATATCGGTATCGGCCGATAAATGCTAATTTTTTCTGTTATCGGTATCGGCCTGATAAGAAAATTTGGCCGATATCTTAAAGCCGATAAATAATGCATTATTTCCTTCAGAGACACTTCAGATGCGCGCTGTTCGTTTGCAGCCTTTTGTGCAATATATTTTCTGATCATATCTCTATATTTTTTAAATCAAAAACACTTCTTCACGATACAGATCCTGCGGTCTGAGCTCAAGATTTGTATGAATGCTGTTGTGAAAGCAGCACTAACAGAGCAGGTACTGCAGAGAGACGCTGTTTCTCATTAAGAGACAGCAGGAATAAACCCACTCATGTCTGCGCTGATTCCCGGGAAGCCTCAAACCTACAGGAACAATGTGCAAACATCTCAGAGCCGGAGAGATGATGCTCTTCTGTTTCTACTGTATTATGAGAGAACATGAAGTAAAATAATGACATTAATGATGACCATGACCACAGTACATATGCAAAATCATGGTAATGCCACGACTCTCTGTCTATTTAGCTTGTGAAGACGTGTTTCGAAGGAAAGCTGCTCATCTGGAGCTGGTAGAGGATGTGAAAGACCCACAAATCACAATCAAATCACACACAGTCCATAAAAAAGCTCTTCTGTCTGCTGCACGCAATAAAACCGACAGAAGAAAGAGAAGGTGAACTACGACTCATTTGATATTCTAATGCCTGCAGAAAACGCATCCATCTGCGAATGTTCAAAAACATCCCACGTACAGAACTCCCAACAGGGAATCATAATGTGACGTATGAGATGCAAAACAAACCACAGCTTCTGGAGATAGTGAGAAGAGTGTTCATATATCAGATTCAGAGATAATAGTTCAGCACAAACTGATTCTGGGATCTTTAGACAAGCAGCTTCACATGTTAATATAAGTTGAAAGTTTGAGGTCGGAACTCTCTTTTGCTCACCAAGGCTGCAGTTGTTTGATTAAAAATACAGTAAAAACAGTAATATTGTGAAATATTTTTTACAATCTAAAACAGCTGTTTTCTATGTGAATATCTGTTAAACTGTAATGTATTCCTGTGATGCGCAGCTGTATTTTCAGCATCATTACTCCAGTCTTCAGTGTCACATGATCTTCAGAAATCAGTATAATTATTCAAGAAACATTTCTGATTATTATCAACGTTGAACACAGTTGTGCTGCACAATATTTTAGTGTAAACCGTGATGCATTTTATTTTTCAGGATTCACAGATGAATAGAAAGTTCAAAAGAACAGCATTTATTTGAAATATAAATCTTTTGTTATATTATAAATGTCTTTACTGTCACTTTTGATCAGTTTAATGTACAGTTTCACTGATGAATAAAAGTATTAATTTATTTATATTACTACAATTTTTCAATATTTAACTTAAATAAGAATGGTGGGCAAGTATGCTAAAATTTCACAAAATTATTTAAAAACTTAAAAAAAAATTTATGCAAAATATTATAATTGTTTATATAATTTATAATTAATAATACATCAAATTTCTAATAAATTATTTTATGACTAGAAAGCTTAATAAATATTTTTATATTTTTATATCTGTACATAATTTATAAAGTATAAAATAGCAGTGTTTTTTAGCAAATTTTTTTTTTTTAATCTCATTATGTGAAATTTGACAGATCTCATATGGTTAAAAAGTCAATAAATAATTCAAAATGAATAAAATTAATTTGGAAGGATTCAGCAGTTTGTTCCATTTTATAACGCATCAGAAACCGAACTGGACCTTTTATGCTTGACTGTCTCGATTTCGGCATATTGGAGCTGGAATCATCATGATCGTGTCCAACAGGGCATTTAATCGCATAAAAGCTGATTTTCACGGCTCTAAAAGACTCATCATGACCTCTCCGATCATCAGCAGCAAAAGCATCATGAAAAGACATCAGGAACCTGCAGCGCTGCAACATCCCGCTCTAAATCTCCCGCCTGACACCCAGCAGCAGTCAAACGCATCTGACATCTCTGTCCAGCGCTTTATAAGGCTCCGGGGGTTTCAACAACCGCTGACACCTGTGTTTTAAAGCCGGAGCGAGCAGACGAGTCCTCAACTGCTAGATACTGCTTACCTGAACATGAAACGTGCAATGATTCGCTTTTCTGACACATGAAGGGCTCCGCAGAGACTCCAGAGAGCAAAGACTACAGTATCTGAACACATGCAACAGACAGAAACACACTGTGAATGACGGAAAAAGAGCACGTAACAGTGAATTTTACTTTTAAAGCTGCTGTAAGCAAGGTTATTGTAGTTCATGACAACTCTCAGAACATTTTAGCATGGTGATGGATATGACAATGTTAATGTATTTGGTCTCGGCGGAACAGATCTGCTACGCTGCTGCTGAATTGCTGCTGCTGTTGGTTATTGCTGTAGTTGTAGATTATTGCTGCTGCTGCAAGCAAGTACAGGAACTTGCTACTGCCAATGCATATGGCGATACGGTGCCGCGAGTCTTTAAGACATGCTGCTGCTGCACAAATAGCATATAAAATA